TTTAAGAAATCGGCTGTAGTCAGATGGATAAATACATCCATATTTGCGTATACACTAATTTTTTTTTGCAATTCGATTCCATAACCAAAACCAATGGATGGCGCGAAGATAAGATCATTTCATATTAAACAGAAGGAACCCATCTTAACTTAAATGAAGATGAAATTAAAAAAAATTACAGTATTATAGTCTCAATAAGGCGACTGAAGTCCGAAGTCAAGTAACAATGGACTAACAGGTCTACGTTCTCTTCCTCAGCCGAAACATAAATCTCTTCTGTCTTCAAGGTGAACTTTTTGCAGTGGTCAATCGAAAGTGATTATCTCCTAACAAGGAAAAAATACCAACAAACTATCCGATGTAAATGAGGAAAAAACAATTTAGTGCCACAAATGTATGCCAAGTTTGACGACCAAAGTAATTCTTTGTTGGGTTAAAACGATATATATATATATATATTGTCTTTTATAATCTTACACCAGAATTCTTTGGACTTCTGGTGTAAACTAGCATTCTGGTCATATTTTGGCAGAACATTAAGGCCGTGGATGCAGAAATATAAGCACTGATTTGCCTGACATACTTGTTCAAGCCTCCCAATTAGTGAATTTGGAAAATGAACGCCTCCTGCGTAGCCCAAACGTTTTTCAAGAAATGAGTACCACAAACAGTCCGCCATTAATTATTATTGGCGATAACAAAATCAAGATTGTCCCTCTTACGGCACTAATTTAATGACAGTAGTCTTGAAGAGACAAATAGTAAACCATTCAGTTGCATTTCGCACTGTCTTCATTTTCATTTTTTAGCTTCAGACAATTTTTCTGTTTGTATGAAAACACTCGCGATATCTTAAACGTGCAAGGGTTACTACTGCCTGAATTTGAATGTCTCTGGTTGAATTCACATGCGTAAAGAAAATAGCAAGCTAAATGGCTCGTAATCTTAAGGAAAACCCTATCATAACTTGATTTTTTCGTTCCGCTGTCAGTTCCGGCATAGGATCCTACTCATTTCTCATTTATTCATTAAAATACTCAAGTTATTCAACTAAATTCAGGAACTGCGTTCACTTGGAAACGATGATATCATGATTTCATCGGTGTGTTCCGAGTCAAAGGTTAATTCAAAGTTTATAAACAAATGGATAAAGAGCGTCTCACGGTGGATACACTAGTAAAGGATGTTTAAAAATGATTGTTACATTTCTAATCTTTGGCAATCCGTAACGGTCAAGCTCTCAAGAAACCAACCAAAACATCACAGTAAGCGCAAAGTTCCCAGAAGTTCATCGTTGACAGCATAATTAAAATCTCAGGCCAATTCAATACCCGTTAACATTAACATATTACGTTGGGGGAAAGTTGAAAAGCTTTTCTTTTATTTCTACGATTAAGTCTAGGCCTATTGTGACCTATTGTGTCTACACTAACCGGAACAAAAACGGAGCTTTGCGAGGAACGCACTAGGCATTTTTTGGCAAAATTATTCGGCCCTTATGCGCATGCCCAAGGATGCCTTAAACTTTAAGGTACCTCCCCTCCCTCGTTGTTTCTCAGTGACTATCTATATTCTTCGCCTGAGAGAAGCCATGTGAAAGTGAAGCGGTCCTTCCCATGAACACAAAACAGCCGACCGACGCGCTTTTTATTTCACTGGCGTGAACCCATCAGCCTCTAGAAACGTAGGGTGAAAAGGGTAATTTTACGCTACATTATAAAATTCGATACACAGCTTTTCCACTGGGGCCGCATTTGTGTCAATAGTTATAGATACTATCTAGCGCGACCTTCTGAAAATAAAGTACCTTACTGGCTCAGATAATTTTGTTTTAATCTAATAACATGGCAAGCGCGCGACAAGAGATGGAATTCAGGCCACAGATATGCTTTTATCGCCATGGTAGCTATTTCCAAAATATCTCAAGTAACAGTACTATATGAATCAGCAGATAGAAGTGTCACCGTCTCAAAGAAAATTACTGAAACTGAGATATTCGGCTCGTAGAAATTGAGGTAAAGCGGCAACATTTCCTGTGTTTCATGAGGAAAGGTATCCTAGAAATAACAAAGAAAAGTATAGCAAAGATCTATAATGAAGTACCGCTCTTTTCAAATTATGCAAAGAGAAGGATCCCTATCAACAATATGGCGATCGAAAGAAGACTCAAAATAACCCGCCTCTACCGTCAGTAGAACTCAATAAAGTCATCACTAGAGAGCTTTAGTCAAGAGAGGATTGCGCTTCCAGATTAAAGGGGCCTTGCACTATCATAAAATGCGCAACTGAATGTAGAGGCAGATTGTCAGAAAGGAACACTTCACAGACAGCAGTTCTAGACATCTCAAAATCATGGTAATCAGGTGACTCGATGGCACCACTAATCGTTTCCCGGAAGGCATTTTGCCAAGCTTTGCCCGGAAATTCCGCAAATAATGAACTAAAACGACCAGTTTCTTTCGAAACTAAAACTGTCAGGTGGGGGTTTCGGTTTCTGTCATTGAACAGTTACGTAACTTGCTAATATTTGATTATCACTTTTCCTGAGCCCAATTCGTTTTCTCCAGATCGAAAGTTTAAGATCGAAAGTTTCTACCGAAAGCGCAGCCAACACAGACATCAAACCACGACTCAGGACTACTCTAAGAATCCATATTTTGGCTCCCAGCTGACTTACTGATAGTTTACGAAGTTTCTATATTCCTCTTTCATATCTGAAATTTTTTAACGGTTTACAAAAACCGATCGAAATACCGCGTGCGAGTCAGATGACAATCCTGTTACCGAAAATAATTCGATACAGCTCTACAGGCTTTATCGTGTTTGTTTAAAATTTGTCGAAATCAAAACAGTGGTCTGTCTCCGAGAATCTAAAACAGAAAGAACGTCCTCAGAGTTTCAGTGTTTTGTTGATAACAGGGCCGGAAGTTAAATGAAAAGGAGCTTTCCAATCAACACCAAATTAGGTATTAAAGACCAATAATTATATCAGACACAGACAAAAGGAACTGAAAGAAAACTCTACTTGCACGAAAAGGTATGGTAACAATATTCACCTTAAAAAATTAATTTTTCATCCTGAATTGAAAAATCGAATTGGTTTTAGGGCAGAATGTATTCCGTCCTCGTATGTAAATTCTTCAATTTAGCTCAGCTTCAACACAATGCCTTCTATTTATGCAAACATTACATCAGCTAATTTTTGGTTTCGATCCTACATAATGAAGAGTGTCGACGTGTGTAAGCAGAAAGGGCAGAAGAATTTGCGACGCTTACGGGCGAGTGAGGTGTTGGTTTAAAACTTCTCTATCCAAGCAAAAAATGGTTCGCCATCTCCTTCTATGTCTTTTCATCAGCTTCTTTCTTCATCTCACGATAGTCCAGGCCTTCTTCTGCAATGACAAGAGCTGTGGAAGATGCGTGAACTCGAGATTAATTAAATGTCGATGGTGTAAACGAGATAATAGATGTCACAATCCCGGCGCCGTTCTAACAAATCCTTGCAGCAGAGCGGAAAATATTGTAAGCAAATCTCATTGTGATGACGAACTGCCACGCTATGATCCTAAATTAGCCTACAAAATGTTGCTTCTTTCTGCTGCAGCATACGACTCAGTTGATCCGCAAGAATGCCTCAACAATTCGCTCCCATCTGGCAAGTTTCAGCTTCAAGCTGTGGTGACAAAAAATTGTGACGTCTTCAATAACAACTGCTCAGGCTATGTGGCTGTTTCACATGCGTTGAAAGTAATCGTAGTCGCTTACCGTGGCTCTCTGGGTTCACATCAATCAGCAGCCATAGCCGAGGAAACTTTGCTTAAGCCCATGACAACTTTCTTCCGTGGCAAAGTTCAATCCTATTGGAAGAGAGGTTTCGAGTTGTTATGGCAGGCAAGCATGAAAGCGGAAGTGGAAGCTCTTCTATCGAAAAATCCAAAGTACAAAATCTGGGTCGCAGGGTATTCTCTGGGTGGTGCAATGGCATCATTGACCAGCACATGGATCAGTTCTTTCAAATTAGCTCCTCGCGAAAACATCATTTTGTACACGTTCGGCATGCCTCGAGTTGGAAACTACGACTACGCCCTGCAACACGATCAATTGGTCAACAACAGTTGGAGAGTTGTGAACAAAAACGACTTAATTCCTCATTTCCCCATAGTTGTTGGAGTCCCTAATATCTTCACTGGTCCGTACCACCATGGCGTAGAGGTATTCTACAGCGACGGAGCTGCAAGCGTTTATTCAAAGCACAGAGAGTGTCACGGGAAACCATACAATGAAGATGCCACATGCAGCTTCGCTGAAAAGCACCTTTCTATCAAACGGCATTTAACCTACTTCAGCATTCCAGTAGGAGACTTTTGGAAAACAAGATGCCTTCATCCATGATCAAAGAGCGAGAGGCACCGAAAGACTCCGCGGACCGAGTTTTTCGACGAATGAGTTACACGTATGCACTGAACATTTTTAGTTAAAAGAAAAACAGGGAAAATGAGTTAGATTAATTTCGCGGACTATGCTAACGAAGACAAGTTTCATTTAACCTTAAATTTTACTTATTTTATGCAGCAGAAGTAGCAATCTTGTAAAACTCGATTTTCAAGAAAACTCATGTGTTTAATCTTGTTCTATTACTTGGTGATTCAATGAAGTGCGTGCAAGGGGAGCGCCTAACGTTGAACAACACAGTCAACTGCATGATTTCGTCTTTTTATTCAAGTGTGGAAAGGTAGACTTTAGGTTGAATACCGGCTTGTAGGCAGAATTTGGAGGGGTGACCAATCCAACCACCTGTTAAGTCGAGAACAGTAGGAAAGACGAGACAAAAATGGGCTAATCATTGACCACTCGGATGTAATCCTTTGAGTAAGTACAAGAGGTTACAAATTGCAGACAGGTATAATAATGATGATAAAATGAAAGTAGAATGGTTGGGGTCAGAAGTTGAACAATCATTGAGCAAAAAGCGAAAGAATATCCGGGCAAATGGTTTACCACTCTAAATAAAAGGACAAGATTACGACCCACGTAATGAACGAAAACTATTAATTTACAGCTCAAGCCTTGAATAAGAAATTAAAGCTCCACCATTGGGCCCTTAAACTCTCCATTTATTATCCAGTTACTGTGTGATGTGCACTTAATGCAAACTCACAGCTGACACATACACAAGATCGAGTCGAAAGCGTCTACATCTCTCTTTTAAAACTCTCTTGTCAATATCAATTCCTTATTTAGCCAAGAGGTGGTAAGATAGGACGGAATAAAATCGAAAGTGTTGCCTTCAGTGGCAACTCATTCTCTTGACATATCTAAAAGGAATTTATAACAACTAAATCTGTGCTACAAGCAGCTTTTTCTCTAACTTTTTTATTTAAGCCCTGTCAACAATGTCCTAATCATTTTCAAGCAGACTTGTTGGTTGGTATTGACCTTTTTGTCCATGATATTTACATTTCCAACATCTAAAACAAACGAAGGTTTTTTTTTAAATCGAAGATTCATATGCAGCCATTCTTTCCGCCACAATCGTGATCATAAAGAAAACAGTAGTATTGCACAGCCTAGTTTCCCAAAAAACATTGAGACCCAGGAGGAAATTTTCCATGTTGAGATCGACACTTGAAGATTTGACCGATCAGTGCTGTGACCACTGGATGGTCTTCAGATCGACTCCTTCTTGCACCATTTCCCACAACGGGCTGCAATGAGCAAGATGTACAAATTTTAAATAAAAATGTTCATCGAAATGTTGCTCTGTCATGCACTGTGATTGGTCAAAAACTTTCTCACAACCAGCTCAACCAGTCAAATGCAAAACTAGACTTATTGCGTGCGTTTTCTACGGCTGTTGGTAGCTTTCGTTGCTGCTTTTGTTGTCGTTTTTTTTTTTTAAGGTCTTACGGGCTCCATCTGATAATTTACGACACTAGATGACACCGCCAGACTTTCGCTGTTAGCAGGCTTCATTGAACCCCGGAGACAATAAAATACACACTACACAGATTAAAACTACATGGCAGACCAATAAATGAAGGGGGTTAGTTTCTAAACAAACTGTGGTGCGGCGTCGGTGGGAGTATTACGAGAGAACATGGTGTTATCAAGCTAGATGATAATGAAAACTAGCCACCGTAAGGACTCTCGAAAGCTAAAGTTTAGAACGTTAGCCCTACCGAAGAGCGTTAGCCGCTCTAACGAAGGGCTATCACTCGAAACGTCAGCTATGACCCCGCCAAACAATTCCTGGAATAAGGAGATAGCGCTGGTTACCCGATGGGGCTAACTTTTCATTTCATGAAAAGTGTCGTAAAGAAACCAAAATCGTTCACTAAAGGATGATGCTGAAAAAAGAATTCTACAAACCTCATTTCGCGAAGGCGTTTGACATGTTTAACTGTCTTCTCCACAGTGTAATCTATTTCTTCTTCTGTAGTAAAACGACCTATTCCAAACCTGAAAATAGAGGAGATACAAGGAACAGAAGTGTACTTACTCGCCACAAACTAGGTTAAATTTTGCAAGTTAGTTCACACTTCACTTTATTCTGACAAGTAATGCCAATGCGGTGCAGGCATAAACAACAACAGTAAAAAAAGAAAAAACTCAAAACAACACAAAAAAATAATTGAATAAATAGGACGGTATTTCCTTGATCTAGAGGCCTCACAAGGGCCTAGCATTGATATTAGTGCCAGACCACGACAAACCTCCCCTCGACTCGCCTCAAATCTTCCCGCTGGTAGAGAAATCATTATGAGCATTGAGTTGGTAATTAGCACCGTGTTTCAAAAGCAAGCTGACACGGCATATCAATTTATGCGTAAGGAACTAACGGTAATAACTATTCTCTGAGTCAAGGCATTTCACGCAAAAAAATGTCCTTGACACAATACCTGATGGAGGAGTGAGCCAGCTCTTCATCGGCGCCTATCGCTCGGAGGACATAGGACGGTTCCAACGAGGCAGACGTACATGCGCTTTACGAAAAAAAAAAACACCAGCGTCTGTCATCCTAGTTTCCATCCCCCTTTTTCATGCTCTCCTTTTAAGTCCCTCAAAAAAAAATGCCCCTGTATAATATGTCCCATTCATAAGTTCATTTCTTTCTCTATTCAAAAGCACTCGGGATAAAACAAATTCAACCAAACTTAACCTTTTAAAACGTACAGTAAGCTTTTCCTACTCAATAACTGACAAGTTTTGAGTGAATTTCATTCTACAGGTCAATGAAAACATACAGAGGGCAAAAGCACTCGATGGATTCTATTAATAAGCCTTATCTTTCGAGATGTTTCTTGTTTGACACACTGAACTCTCCTCACCTGCCTGACGAAAGAGCCACGTCTTTGAGAGCCATCAGCAGACTTTCCCCCTCCACAAATGCAAAAGACAGGTTCACACATCCAGGATACGAATGATCCGGGTCACCGTTTCTGATGACGTGGGTTAACCCATCTGTGATGCCATTCACCAAGCGATTCGACAGTTCCGTCACCCTCTTGTGGTCATACTGCAGAATTGCAAATATACTGATAACTTAAGGCCAAATTCGCATCTCATTATGACGTCTTCACAGGGATTACACAGCGATATTTGGAATTTTACTTGGATCGATCAACATTTTCGCTCATTGAATAAAGCTTTACTCAGTTACATGGTGTTTTGCAAAGTGGATAAACACAAGAGAGACAAGGAAATAAACGCAGAAAGTAACAGGCATGGCTAAATATAGAGGAGATCAGTACGGGTTGAAAATAACAATTTGGGAAACATTTATAAAAACTAAAAAAAAAAATGTGACATAGCCGTTTTAGAGCAATCTTAACCACAGGTACACTTTCCATTTTTAAAAAATCAAAACAAACAAAAATTTCAAAATGGAGCACGCCTTGTGGTCTAGACATTATATTACATTCTATTGTCTACTTACTGGAGGTTACAACTGAGAACCTGAAGGAAAAACCCAGCACTTATTCTTAGCTAGCAAGATCATGCTCTGATTGGTTTACCTCCAATTCCTCTAGAGCCACTTCACAGGCTGCACCTAATCCTACTGCCAACACGTGAGGGACTGTACCACTGCGCATGCCCCTAAAATGACCACATATTCAAATAAACCATGACGATGGAAAAAAAAAACTTTTAAGAAGACTTCCCCTTATCATCACTGAAAAATTTGAATCAAGAGGAATTTTTGAGGAACTGGACAAATTAGAAAATGTTAAAAACCATAAAAAAAAGTTATTTAATAAGGGGGTACATAATTACAATCAAAAAATGTATCTGCACAGTCCTTTATGACCTCTTTCCAGTTTACTGAATATCTTTGTATCATTTATGTATTGTACCTCTCCTGCCCTCCTCCACTCTGAATAGGCTCTACCCTGACTCGAGGTCTTCTTCTGATGTACAAGGCACCAACACCTGTTACAATAAATCAATAAACACGTACAGCAATCACTCCACTGCTGTGCAAATCCTGTAAATCATGGCCAGGCTTCACAAAATAAACTGACACGGATTATTCACTTTTTTTTTTAAGAAGTTAGCCAAAATGACTCACATATTTTTACAAGCACTACATAGAAAGAAAAAGAAGAAGGTTTGGGAAAGCTGAAGATTTCTTCCCCTTCCCTACCTGTCATCTCCAACTCATACTAAATGAACATGTAATGGACTGGTAAAAGATTACAAGCTTTCAATGCAACTGCACTCTCTCAATACATGTAAAAGCTTGCACTTTATGCAAGTGAAAGGTACATGCTATAAAATTATTTTCAAAAGTGCTTTAAAACCAGCATGTAATACTTTGTATAAATGTAACACTTAAAACCACAAAATCAGACAATCTTATCCAACTACTAGAGACTAAAAGCATGCAGTCAAAATGGTGACCTGCCCCATCAACGACATTGAGTAAAACTACCATGGTGTCTTTTTCTATCCATTTACCTTTTGGTCCATAAATCTTGTGGCCACTGATTGACATCAAGTCAATCTTCAGGTCATTCACATCAAGTGGAATCTTCCCAACTGCTTGTGCTGCATCTGTGTGAAAGAAGACTTTATTCTTGCGACAGAGGGATCCTGCAAGAGACAGTGAGAAGAAAAAATCATTATTGGTGGATCTCTAAATTAGCTTAGTGTAGCTGACTGCTTTTTGTTGGACATCAAACAATAAGAGAGAACTTCACTGGACCTCTTCCATGATTTAAAATTTCAAAGTGGTATACATGTGCAATGTGCACCTTTAACACCTTTAGCTGAAGCTCAAACAAAAAATTCATTTTTTTGTAATCTACATGTACCTGAAGTGGAAACATTGAAAAAAGATACAGGGAACTGGAAGGAAAGAAAACTAACCAATGATGTGCATTTATGTTGCAAAGGTGAGAAGAAAAGTTTGAAAGGCAAGTCATTTTTAAAACACCTTTAGCTGTATATAGATAAATGATAATGTATACTTCACAATCTGCATACATCTATGATTTAGTCTACTAGTTATTTTAAGAAGGTTAATTGAATTAGTAAGATCTCACTGAAGACTAATCAGGGACATATGTTCTTTAACGTAAAGGTACAGCAAAGTAGCATTTTGAATACACTAAGTGAGCCTGGAATGCTTGTGTTTCTTTTGGTCAGTCTTACCAATTTCTCCCATGGGTTGTGTGACACCAATTTCATTATTGACTGTCATTATGGATACAAGAGATGTGTCAGGTCTGATGGCAGCCTCCAGTTGCTATAAGATGTAAGACAAAATCAAGCATCTAAAGTGTGATACATAAAACAATCTTATCTGCATTTTCACCTTTAACTTCCAAGGTCTACATTGTACAAGTAGATTTTAATTCTCCTTTCTAGCTGCTACACATTTCCTTGTAAATTAGTTACAAGAATTTGGTGTTAGATCAAGACAACCACTACTACCTGATAAATTTGAGTATACTAACTTTACTAACTTGATAATGTATGGATGTAACAGGGAGAAGTTGTATGTTTTATCACCCCTGGGAGTTTGAGGGTTAAGTTTAGAGACGAACATCAAATTAAATCAAGTGTCTTATTATAATTTTCTAACCACAGGTTGTTGGAAAAGTAGGACACTAGTTTGTGAGCCCCTTACCTCAGTCATTGTATGAACACACAAAATCTTAGTTGTCCTCAGTTATCACAACTAAATTTTCAAGTACCACTTCACATACCTCCATGTCAATAAGTCCATTTTTCATTACTGGCAGATATGTTACTTCAAACCCTTCACTTTCAAGTGAGCGGCAGGAATCCAAAACACATTTGTGCTCCTATCATTCAAAACCAAGTAATACAGCGATCAAAACTAACAAATTAAACCAATAAATTTTTGGACAAACTACATGCAAATGATGTATGAGCTCAAAATTGAATTCCAACACTCACTGTTTGAGTTGTTATGATATGTTTCTTATTCTTTTTGTAAAAGCGTCCAACTCCCTAGAAAATTAAGTAAACAACATCGGTGAAATTATATATGAAGTATTTATTCCCTAACATCTCAGTATCATTAAACAACACAATTATCAACTCTGACTCTTAAAGGTGGCTACTGTTAGTACAAAGTCATGAATGTAGACAGAGACATGTACATGAAGGGTACTACCATAACAAAGGCATGAAAAGAATATGTCAGAACATTCAATTATGGTTCAAAATTGCAAATGAGTAGCATCTCCTTAATGAGGCAATCAAATTGGCTACTACTGAGCTAAGTTTGTGAGAATGATTAAAAAGGTGCTTTGGAATCTGATCATTATTTACGAATTACGGTCAACTTGCCAATGCCATCTCACCAATGTATAAAATCGAGTAGAAACATTGGCGAGTTGGTCTTCAATCCAGTACAACTTATTAGAAGTTAAACATATAGAAATTAAAGTAACTCTTTCTTGAGATCCTTATAAACTTTGTTGCAAATAAAAAGAATTGCTTTTTACTAAAGATCTTGTCTAGAAAGCCAGGTTTTCTTTAAAAAATCTGAGGGATTGACATGATGAGTCTTTACGGTGTTGTTGTTGCACAATAACTCGTTCGCGTCTTAGCTGTTATAGTCATTGGTGATGTTCACCAATGTTCACCAATGTTTAAGCTTCTGTTTGATGTTCACCAATGTTCACCAGTGTTTTTTTACTAAATATCGTTTACTTTTCTGTATGTTTAACTTCTGATAAGTTGTATTGGATTGAGGACCAACTCGCCGACATCTCTACTCAATTTTATACATCGGCGAGTTGGTGTTGGCGAGTTGACTGGATACCTTATTTACACTTATACTGATGGAACACAATTTACAATTAAATTTTGGCCCAAAATAGGGATGCCATACATATCTGCTATGACAAAGTCTTTTGTGTCCATTAAAATACATGTACAATTTCAGATTGGTATAACCTGCACTTCAACTGCTGGTTAACAATTAAGAGATAACTACATGCACCTTAAACCATCAGTGCCCTTTTGACTTACATGGCAGTTCTTACAAGGATGTTGTAATTAGCTGAATCATTAAAATATTACAAGCTTAATCAAAACATGTACATGTATTTTCTTGAATCTTCAATTTGGAAATTATGATGTTGTTAAACTCTGGAAAATTTGGCCCAAATAGGGATGCCATACATATCTGCTATGACAAAGTTTTGGGTTATTTTAAATAACATCTATCTACACATGTCACAAAATTACAAAAATACACTGGCTGATGTGAATGCCAAAATCAAAAAAATTTAACTAACACCATACCTTAACAGATATGTTGTTTGATTCTGTAGCCCCACTAGTAAATACAATTTCTTTTGGATCTGCACCAATCAGTTCTGCTACTTGCTATAAAAAGGAGATAGGACTTCATGTTTACTGTGTCAATATGAAATATGGCTACCATATATATAAATGAAATCAAAAGACCTGCTCATTGTTTCCAAATCATGTAAATTTACAAGGAATTTGTCCTTCACATTACCTACATATCAAGACAAATTCAACATACTGTACCCCCTACTAAACAGATGAAAATTGTCTCCTAGCCACTAAAACAATTTACAGCTAGGTAACATTGTCTTTGACCAGAAAAGGAAGTTAACTTATAAAATTAAATACAAGAGAGAAGGCAACATCATGAGAAATAACATTCCCTGCTCTAAGAATACCCTTAAAATATCTAGAAACAAAGGACAAAGTGGGTGGGAAAGAAACAACACTTCAAAAGCAATGCACCACCACATGAGCAATCAAAAGACATCAGTAGGATGTTCAATCCTACTGATCTTTCAATATCCAACTTTTCTAGCTGGAGTGCAAATAATGTAAAAATTGAGTAAAAATATTCTGTTATTGTAACAACAGTTTGTTATTTTGCACTGTAATCTGATGCAAGATTTATGTAAGCCATATAACAAACTGCTTCTCTATTTTCTTTGCATTTACTGCCTTATAAGAAATGCATATGAAATAAAGCAAATAACTCTTGAAACATATTGGTGTATGGTATCATTGAATAGCTTTAACTTTGTATTTTGACCAACTTTGTGGGCATGTCAAAATTTGGCATGACTGGTGAAAAATATTCAGCAATATTACACACCAAAATGACTAATAGGACAAACCATGTATATATAAATATATAATATATATATATTTCCGAGATGCAAACAGTTTTCCAAGTTGAAAACTGTGAGCTCAAAGGAACAGATAATGTCCAAGGTCAAATATACCACATAGACGTCAAATATACAAATACACTTTGGCCCAAAATAGAGGCTAATGCGTTTATCACCCTTCAAATATTTTAAAACAAATTTGAAATCATCATTGCCTTAAGATAAATTTTAAATGAAGACTCATCATAGTAACATAAGGTACAAAAATTGGCAAATATCACTGGTGTGGTATTGTGACATATCCCTCAGTTTTAGTTGGGTAATAAACAGCTACATGATGCATTTTGACCAATTACTCATGAGCAAAACTGTTTAATGGATCATAAGTGCTAAAAGAATTCCAATAATAGAGTAAGGGGAGTGGCTCTTTGTGGCTTCTGTCAATTGTCTATCTCTTTCGGAAAAACCCTTGAGTCCATGCATTAATTAAAAGTTGTCTGGAAAATAATACAAATAAAATAAATTTCATGTTATTATGTGGATGTTACAAGTGGATCGTGCTGTGTACCTTTCTTGCATGTTCCACAGCCTGCTCACTCTCCCAGCCATAGGCATGTGTACGTGAGTGTGGGTTTCCATAATAAGATACAGAGTATGGCATCATAGCATCTAACACACGGGGATCCTTCACAAATAAGTAAATAACAAGGATATCATTTGTTTCAGTCCTAGGATCTTGAATGCCTAATTCTCTTAACTGATCATCATAAACCTCTCTTTGCACTTGTTCTGAACATTTGAATTTTAACCTTTAAACAACACATGTAAAGTATCTCCTTATCAATCATTTATTTTCAACCTCATCAATATAAACAGTTCAAATTCTGAGGCAACTACATGTCCTGATCAAGACTTCTACTCACAGAATCATTCCTTCATTCTCCATTTTATAAGGACATGAAATAAAGGAACTTGCTGAAAGGGTATCCAGTTGGATCGCACCATGGTTAGATCACTCCCAGTTAGATTGCTCCAACCAAAAGTTAGATTGCTCCACTCAGAAGTTAGATTGCTTTATCAAATAAGTTACTTCGCTACCAACATAAGTTACTTCGCTCCATGTTGTAAAGTGAAGTATTACTTACCAATGATCTAGTTAAAGTGTAACGGTGATGATGTATCTTGCTACGATTCAAGTACATCACTCTGTCCTTTATATGAGCCACTGAGCTACCAATGTATGGTGTATAGTGATGATGGAATAAATGATCGTGGAATAAATTGGAACATTATAGTCTGAAGTGTATGGAAAAAGATCATTCAAATACCAACACTATCCAGTGAGGCCTTTTTTGCTGTTTGATTTAAGGAAACCGATATCCACCATCTTTAACTAATAAAGTAGATTACACTTTGTGAGTCCCTTTCATGAGGCTTTATTTGTTCTTTCTGCATAGCTCGGATTTATTTCAAGTGTGCGCAAGTGATATTAATTGACTGTCTGGTAAGATATACATGTCATTTAACGAACTATCAATTTAGATACCTAAGTTTTGCTACCTTTACCTTAGTTTTCTACATGGAGTGAAGTAACTTATGTTGGGAGTGAAGTCACTAATTTGAAGGAGCGATGTAACTTTCGAGTGGAGTGATCTAACTTTTGTTTGGAGCAATCTAACTGGGAGCAATCTAACCATAATTTGCTGAGAGAAACCAACAACATCATAAAACCCAATGGTTCACTTTCTATAATCTAAGTATACAGTGTACATGGTATTGACACTGACTCGTTTTTGTGTGTGAATTTATCTATTGCAAAATATTACCATTTAATCATAATCTTAAATTGCCTTGATCACCATCACATAAAATTTGGGCAAATCTCCCTAAATGTTTTAATCCAAAAACTATAAGGGACTGAAATGCTTCTGTGATCTCTCGGACATACATGTTAGAAACAGGGTATGCGAGATTTCTCTATTACTTTTTATTACTTGTAAATTTAGTTTGTGTAATGTCATTTTGCATATGTATTGGGTACTAAGCCAAATCCGAAAAAAGTGTTTCTTACCAGAGGGGTGGTTGCTTGTGCATCAAGGTAAAGAGGTCTCAACTCTGCACCTTCGTTTTCTATCAAATTAGACAATTTAAAGAGTTAGATGACATCTAACAGTAACAGCAAGAAAAACTTAAAATGTTTCACAACATGTGGGGGAAACTGCCATCTGCACTAGCTCCCCCCGTCTACCACACTACAAATGACTTAAATTTACAGTGATAACACTACATCCAAAACCACATAGTGTGTCAGTCAACAGAACCAACACTCGGATGATTTTTTGCCCTCAACTTGCCAATACAGTGTATGTCACTCACTTCAGCAGACAACAGTCCTTTCAGGACCACTCTCACTTTTGTGACTACACTTCTTAAGTAAAGAGGTGCATGGTGAGAGAAACCCAATATGCAACTATGGGCTTATTTGGTTCTGAATGAGGTTACGTCATTTTGAAGACTGTCTCACTAAATATCACAACATAAGGATAATGATTAGCTTGCCTAAATATGCGAAAAAAATACAAAAGAACTAACCCGCTATACTGATGTTCAACTGATCCAACTACTTTGAGCTTAAGTCACTCTTGATCAATGACACGTAAATTTTCCACTCCAAATTCAGGTTACAAAGGACACCCCTAAGTTACAAAAATTAATTTAAGAAAGAAACAACAAACCTGCACTAGCTACCCTTGTGGCAGCAGCAGTGGTTTCATCCGTCGACGATGTTTTCAAGCCTTTTGTCAACAAAATTCGACATGGTAATGAGACCAGACGAGGCTTAACCAACAGCCTACTCAACATGGCAAATTGTGACTTTTCCTCAAAAGTATTAAGAGTTCAGATTCGGTCTTCAATCTTTGTAGATGCGCTTATCTACTTATTTTGGTGACACAACAAGTGAGAATGCTTGGTGACCGAGCCTAGAGTACTGTCCCGTAGGGACCCAAAGGAAAATTCGGGAAATCCCGACATGCCAAACTTTTTAGCCTTTCGTACTAGAGTAGGATGCAAATGCTTGTGGTTTTAGCATAAACTCATGCAAAAGAGCGTAACTTTTGGTTTAAAAAGTACTCTCCTTTTTTATCAATTCGAAAAACGACAGTGAACATTAAGGAAGCTGCGTACGAGCCATGAGCGTGATTAAACCCTTCGCACTTGGCAGAGTTCGCGACTACTAACCTGCTTTTAGGGATAGGAAAGTAAAACGCTTGATTTTGGATCGTTTAGAAAATTAATTGTTCAAATTGAAAGAGTCTTACTAAATTAAGTCGATGAAACTCAGAGATAGGCACGCAATGAGTACAAATGGTTGCCATAAACTGGCAAATAATGCATCATGGCTTGTTATTCGTTGCATGCGAATGCGCTCTGAACAATGTGAGGATTCTTTCTTTGTTTTCACATCATGCCTTAGGAAACAAAATTAAAGTGTGGATTGAACAGAACGTGACGCTCATCGATTGTTAGGTCATACTAGCGCGTCCTGTGCAAGAAATAAGTTGGAAATTAGATCACGTCTTTTCATTTAGCCGCCAACAAGTTCCTTTCCACATTAACAGGCTCTTTAGATCACACGCATGTCCCAGAGTTCACAGAACGCAAAAAATTTACCAGACTCGAGTGAGACCGAGCTAGGCTTTGTGGTTAAGGCCCAAGCCGCTCGCAACAGTGGGCAGCTGACGTTAACGGCTTACCAGTTGGCTGTGACCATTACATCCGGCCTGGTTTTTGAAGCTTACAGACTTCACACATGCTATATCTTCCTGTGCGTTAAAAAACGAGGCCAATACAGGAGCCTCGTTAAGATGGGTGGATCAATTGAAAAACAGCGACAATTACCTTACCATGAGGAAATTGCGTCTTTCAGAGTTATCGAGCGAAATGGCAGTTAATTACGATCTCATGCGAAAGCATGACACTTCAATCTTGACTTTTCTAGCACATCACAAACCTGTGTCTAAAATTAGTATCAAAGGGCTCAACCTTAATATGGCAATGACTTTCTCAAAAATCCTCCTCTTAACAACGACGTTTAGATCTCGTAGTGATTAAACTTAAATGAATATTTAAAGTTCGTTTGCGAAGTTGATATCATGTTTTCCCAGCGTTCGATTCGTCACAATTTGTTTGCACTAAATTCGAAATTGGACATCTATACCGATACTGCAGTTAAAAACGGTTTTTTTCTGAGGAAATATCTATGGTTCGGCTACATTTCAGCCGAGTTATTTTCCAGGCCCTTGATCTCTACGTATATGCGACAAGAAGTGATAAATGAAAAACATGTTTGGCTTGGTGTGGATCCGTATCTAGCCAAAGGTCAAGTTTAGCAAACTTGAATATGCAAATGTCATTAAGGATAACGACAAAACCGGTTCAACCACTGTTGACACCTTGCACGTGAAAGAAGCGTGTAGTTTTTCGACGATTCAGTGCATTTGATAGAATCTTGTCCTTAACTGGAAACCTTGAAGCTCTCTCAACTAATTTTTGTTTGTTTTCAATTATCTTTTTCAGAGGGAAGATTTTCACTGTGGTTGGGATTTAGCGGATTTGAAGCAGCAGTAAAGTTGCTTTTTGATCGACCAATTATTTTTGAAAGTTGTCGGAAATGTTGTCTCAAAGTATTTTCGTATCCTTTTACTCCGATGGAACGATTCCTGAGCGAGTTAATTTTGAAATAATTACAGAAAATTTACCAGAGTAGCTGGTTTATTTTCCGCCAGACCAGTGTAGGCAACACGGATTTCCCGAAGGTTTCAAAGTTAAAATGTTATTTCCGACTTACTAGAAAAGCAGTATGAACTGTGTTCAGTGCAATTGCATCGCAAAACTACGTATTGAAACTAGTGATTGACCAGGATTTAGGAGACCTCAGGATAGTTGGTCAATTCAATGTATATGTTTATGTTCATGCCTAATAAATATTCAAGAATGAAGAAAAACATTCTCCACATGCAACTAGTCGCTTTTCTTGGTCCGTGTCGACAAAGTAAACATGGATTTGCAACATATCTGTTTCGCTTTCTGTTCTCCGTGGAAGTCCCAAAATATTTCCTTGCGTACTTGTACGAAAAATTGTACTTTTAAAGAGCATTTAGCAACCAGTCCATCAGTCTAAAATGATAACTAAACAAAATTATCCAATTCAATGCAACTACACAGGTAATTGAAAACTCTCTGCGTAAATGTCACGACTTTAGCGAAGGAAATAATAACAGACTGAACGCTGTGTGTTTATATTCTTTCGTGAAGCAACTCGAACTTTGCATTGCGTGAGATAGCTTATCAAGTGTTTGTATATTAGCATCGAAAAGACTTCGGTGGTGTGACTCTATCTAACAGTTCTTGCAGTGTAAATTACGGTCATTAGCATAAGAAAACAAGAAATTTCGCTTCCCAAGTTGAAAGGCGAATGCAAGGGATTAGAGACTTCATGATTTAGTTCCTCACAGAGGCAAAATTCATGTGCATGAGTAGCTAAGCTTTGGTCTCTTTGAAACTATAAAATTAAAAAGCGTTTTGAACCAGCAGGTTGTATCTCCTGAAAATAATTTTTCGTATCAGCCGGAAACTTGCAAAACCGGTCATGAACCCGGCCCCAAACTCGACCGACTTGCATGGCTGCAGAAAAATTTTCGATCAAAATCTTGAATCGACAGTCGTTTGTCGGTAAACTCCACACAGCATTGAGGAGGGAGTTTCGATGGAGGTTTGGTCAAAAATCGAATTGAACCGACGGAAAACGGTCGAAAATTTCGACCAACTTTGTTAGAAGCGCGCTGTGGTGTGTCAGCCAAGAGCACAGCTGACTTGAAGATCGAATGGAAGGGAAAGCGCTTCGAGTACAGCTCGAACGAAGAGTCGACTCGTGTTGGTCGTGGGTAGTGTGTTTTTCATCTTTCATCGTTCAGTTTTTAATTCTTGGAACTCACAATTCATTCGGTTCATTCTTTGTGGCATTGTTGGAGGAATTTCAGCGGAGTGAAGCCGAGACTGGTAAGGAAAATTTATATTTTTTGCCGCAAACAAAGCTCGCGCGCAAATAAAAAATTTATCACCGTGACAGGTTATTTTAAAAGAAAAACTCTCGCAATTTTTCATAGCAACGCAGCTTACACCTCTTCTTTTACAATGATGAACATTTTCCTTCAGCGCAGCGTGGTTAGAAAAATCAAAGCGCTTGACATTTCAAAGCCGCTATCCGCGCGAAGGAAAAAATTTTCTTCTCGAGTGCTCTATGTTATATAACACCGCATCTGGTTGATATATGCAGGAAAATGGAAAATGGGTGGTCTGTAAACAACTCTCATGAATAGGGCAGGCATAGAGATAACTTCATTAGTAAATGTAGAAAACCTTCAGAAATTCTGCGTCATCGATTTTTTTTACCTCCGGCACAGTAGATCTACCGGCGTCTAACGGGAAGTTTTCTGTCGCATAAACCGGTGATGATCTAAGTCTTACTTGTTTCGCGGCTGAGTAACGCACAAAGGAAAAACCCTAAGTCATGTGACCGCACCCTCAGGGCGAAAGCGGAAAAGAGTTCAGAAGGCTGATCCTTTCGCTTTCAAGCGCTGCCGAGTCACCACTAAAATTCTTCATTTTTAATTTCGTACTTAAGCATTTTTTTTTTCGCTCCTCGTCGTGTTTTTGTTGACTACGCAATTCGCGTAATCAGTTTCAATAATATTGTCTTCTATGAACTCCTTGTTGCTACTCACTCACTCGCACATATTTGGATCAATTTACAGCTTCTGTAAATATCATGACATTTACACGCAAAACGGTTCGAACTTCGATTAAAATCGTGACGCCTCATAACATCATTATCATAGCTTACTAGACAAACGAAAAGTTAGTCGATGCTGGCGCTGCGATATTGTTATTAGCTCGCCGTTCTCTTGAGCACCTGATTTCTCGTGAGATTTCGAGAAATAAAACCGGATTTCCTTGATCAGGCCATGACTATTCAGATTGCATGACACCGGAAATTGTTGAAACTCCACGTGAAACATGAAAAACGTCTCGAGGTATCTTCGAAATTAATCGAGAGGAAATGGCATCGATTTCTGTAGAGAATATGATTGGAGCTTTAAAATATAGGCAAACTTTTGCTTGCTTCTGTGAGTCCTTTTTTCGTGGAAGTCGGCCAGCGGGAACATGGTAAGCCTAACATGACAACGACTTGCTAAACAGGGTTTTCCCGGAGATAAATAATTATAGAGTACAGCTAATCTGCATCATAATGATGCGTCGTCTCGGACGTTGAAGCTGCAAATCTCCTCGCATAATAAAATTGTTTCGTTTTCTTTTCTGATAGAACAAAACAGCTGATAATGAAATTTAAAAAATCTTATAATCACAAGTTAAGCTCTCATAAGCAATCTCCTCATAGTACTGAGTTTCCGCAGGAGCCCATTACTCTGGTTTCCGTGAGAGGTTTAGAAAGAAAACAGTTGAATTGTTTACAAGGTATTCCAAGCAAACTCTAGCAGCTGTGTACCCCCCGCTGGTCTTGAGTCCATAACAAATTTTATCATAGAGGGTAGTTCAAACTAAAGAGTTTTATTGGCAATGTATCCCACGAGTATATCAAAACAACTTTTCAGGAGAATACTAAAAACGAGAAGCAAATATCAGACTCCAATTTGCGTTCTTTTAATTTAATCCTCTTTCTTTAAGCTCAGTTGATGCACGCAATGGTGTCAAGTGAGGTATCGAATATTTCGTTTTCTAACTCTCTTGCTGGGATTATTTAGAGTTCATTTTTTTCCTCAACGAAATTTTCAAGATTGTTTCTGGGCGATCGATCGGAGCTACAAGCAAACAGGCGTATTATCATATTTAAGGAATTCCTTTCATCCTCCAGTATCTCAAATATAAACAACTATTGTATTGAAAGAAAATTGCGATCGATTTGAATTCGTGGAATGCATTTCTTGTCTACAAACAATCACGAATAACATGAAATTGCGTCAAAAAATGCGTTCAGACAATTTTTAGTCTGCAGTGCATTTTATCCGACATTTCACTTTACAACTTGTTGCTCAAACGTACACAGATCAGATGGGTTCGGATGCCTTTCATTATTTCCGAGTGATGTCGTTTAGATTCATTCGGAACAGCTTCGGTTGCTCGGACATATCAGTTTATTTAGATCCATCATTAAGAAAATGTTCGATTCTATTCAAAACCGAATTTTTTTTTGCCCATTTACGATAGGTTCAGCAATATTTTCCTTGAATATTTTACATAATGGTCGTTGGTTATTCTGCTAAAAGCTGCGTTTCGTTTAAAATATTTTTAAATTTATTTTTTGTGATTATTTTCAATAGCATGGATTGGCTCCTTGGCTATGGGTATCACATACATGGCAGCACCGATTGCTACCAGCCTTTGCGACCGCTGGGGATGCCGGGTGGTTATGTGTCTTGGCAGTGTGACTTACATGGTAGCGATGCTTCTGACGTCAGTCGTGCAGCACATGTCACTCATGTACATTACATACGGTGTTTTGTTTGGTTTCGCATCCAGTTGTTGTTACTTCTCATCGTTTTACATCCTCATTGTGTATTTTAACAAGCACCTCGCTCTCGCCAATGGTATCGCCGCCGCAGGCGCTGGGGCGGGAACAATGTCCTTGAGCCTGACCGTGGACAAGTTGATCGCCTCGTATGGACTTAGAATGACTTTTAAAGGATTGGCAGCATTGTCCGTCTGTCTTTTCTTAGCTGGACTAACTTTCCTTCCAATTGACTTCAGAGAAGGAGAAGACGAACTTTTGAAAAAGGAAGCACTCTTGAAAGAACAAGAAGAGATAAGAATAAAAGACCGATTGGTCAAAAATATCAAAGAACTGTTCAAGCCTGCTCCAGTGTGGGGAAATAAGCCATTTGTCGCATGGACCGTGGCCTTAGCTATGGTTCTTATTGCCTACTACATTCCCTATATGTACCTGGTAAGTTCTTTTAAGCTCTTATATACCACAGAATGTCTTTTAGGTTTGACGGATGGCCAAGGGGATCTAAAGCCGTACTTTACTCTTTGTTTCCCACTCCCTTTCCTTGCACTAGAATTACATTGAAGAACAATGCAGCAGGGAACCTATTTCTTCTTACGAAGACCAAGACTCGGACGCGAACCGAGTGGAATCTGGGTTCTAGGCTTACGAAGCTCATCCATTGCTGCACCTATTCGCTTTCTAAAGTGCCCTGAAATCCACCGATACATGAGCTATTTCCTCATATAATCATCCCTATTCATCCCTATTTAATATGTGTTGGATTTTTCTTTATAGGTTCGTCTTGCAGAGAGTGTAGGCATACCGTCAACTCAGGGGGCCCTTCTGGTTGGTTATTTTGCCTTGGCCCAAACAGTCGGCAAGATCTTCTTTGGGAAGCTTGGGGACTCATCTCGGGTCAGCCGTTTGACCCTTACGCAATTAGCTCTTTTGGTCATCGCTGTGGCAGCATGTCTGTGCCCCTTGGCCCAGTCCCACTCAGCCCTTCTCACTTACTCCTTGGTGTCGGGGCTCTTTGATGGATGCCTTAGTGTAATGATCGGTCTTGTCACCCATGACATAGTGGGCCGTCAGATGATGGCAAAAGCCGTTGGGACTTTATATGGTATCGTGGCGATTCCTATGACAGTGGGACCTCCTATGGCAGGTAGATATCAGGTTTTTTTTTTAACCTCACTGACAGTTATTTTCTTTCACGTCACGTAACACAGTACATTGTATTACTTTGTGTTGTTAAATGTTCGTGACCGTTGGTTGTGATTGTTTTTAGCCGAAAATTCAAAATCCATTCCTGGAGTTCATTGTGTGTTTAAGTGTCGTTGTTTCTTCTCGTCACTTGCGCCTACATATTGCTCATTTAATCCAATTTTTCCTTTGCAACGTGCTATTAAAACCCAAAATTTCCCCTTTATTGTTCCCAGGTTTTGCTCGGAGAGCAGGGAATTCCCGAGTTGAACAGAGATATGCCATGTGGTATTTCTACTTTTCTCAGCCAACCACGAACCTGCCAGTATCAGATTGGATAGTTGTGGTTCACAAAGTCCTCGGATGTCACCAGTTTGCTTCATTCCTATTTTTATCTTGCAGGTCTTCTTTTTGACAGCACCGGCAGCTACAACATTGTCTTCTTCCTTTCTAGCGGTCTCGTGATTGGCGGAAGCTGCGTCATGTTTCTCATCCCAATTCTGCTTCGCTCCAAGCCAAGCCTGCTTAAAGTCATTACTCCTGAGATCATCGTGTCAATGCCAGATAAGCTCCAAGAAGACGATGAAATTAGTCTCTTCGAGGGCGATACAGCCAAACTAAGAACTTCCCATATGTCCTTTAGAAGCCTCGCTGACGAATTAGGGATCTACAGGAGTCACCTGTTATTGGACAGGACGCCAAATCTGAGCTCTCGTCCAAGCAGTTTTGTGCTATTTTCGATCGTGCCGGAGGGAAGTTTCAGAGATTTGTCTCAGTTAAATGAACGATATTCCAACAGTAGAGGGGCAAGCTACACCTCCTTAGTAAGACTTTCAGAAATAAAAGTCGACAGCAGAGTCAACAGTTGCGCTCGGTTAGAACCCGTCGCCGAAGCCGAGGCTTGGGATTCAGGTTTGCCTTCCGAGCATCTTGACGTCATAAAACCACCAACAGCTGTACCTGAACTGTTCGTTACTGTATCACGGTCATGTGACTGTATGAACGAACCTGCTAGCCATGTCATGACTATAGATTTAAATAAAGACAGTGCGTCGGTCGAAATTGTCTCCAAATCCACGGAGAGTGGCTTTGCTTCTGAAGAATCTGTTGTAAGCGCTTGTGACAATAGTATCGAGCTTATTTCTTCCAGTTCAGATTTGGATGGGAAACGCTTAAGTGGTTACTCGTGGAATTCAACGGGAAGTAGCCTGTCGTGTAAGACTCAGTGTTCCGAGGCTGGCACCGAGGACAGTGGGTACGGCGACGACTTGACGCAAGCGCACTGTGTTACCGAAGGTAGCTCGGAAATAGATGATCATATGAAACCATCCATGTGCACTTTCGTCTCTCAAGATAGCTTGCAATCCGACTTAAGACAAGATAATGGCTACTGCAGCTGTGATTCTTCGCTAGATGTGCAGAAGAGCTACACTGAGGTCACTGGCACTGATGACGAAGCGATGGCTGGGCACGCCCGGAAAGGGCTCCTTATTGAAGACGCGTGCCATTCAAACTTCAACACAGGGGAACAGACGAGGATGGTTATGGAGCTGTCTTATTGTACATGTGGAGAAGAAGAAGATGACTCCGTCAACAAGCTCATTTCAGACGCCAAAGAAATAATTGAACTTAAAAAGCCTTATATATCAGTGTTACCTCAGCCACCAGACATCTACAGTGAGTTGTTCGAGGGAATACTGGAAGAGGTGAATGAGTACGTGGAGAATTTCTCGGAATTGTCCGTTTGCCAGGGCACGATGAAGACATTGCCGAAAGTAAGCATGACAGATATAATATCTTGCGAGCAGGAAACAGTTGTTTGAATTATGAACGAATAGAGAAGAGGCTACTGAATAAGAGCGGGAGCGCTGGGAATAGACTCGGCGCCAGGCTATCAGGTCAAATTACTGATTTAGAGAAAGAGAGAGTATTCCAGAACATTACTCTCATAAGTCATTTAGGAGCTAACTGAAAGCCACATCATAATTAGCTATCCCCGTGCTAAAACGTTGTTTTGGTTAATGTTACAATGGAATGCATCAGAAGATGCATTCCATTGTTTATTTGTTAAAGAGCACCTGTTACCAGTTTAGTAGCAAGCGGAGGATCTTTTGTCGTCATTGCCTGCTTAACGTAGTAATTCAGACAGAGCGACCTCTGTGGAAAATGTGGCGTAATGCTATTGGAAAAAAGTCTTAATCAGAAAAAAATGAATCGCAAGAAAGCTTTCAAAAGAATTCCAGTGTATGCGGGTGGTAGAGCTACTGATCTTTCCACTGTAAACATTTACTAGAAAGCCTCATTGGATCGAAGATGCCATTTAGTTGACGCAGGAGGGAATAATCAAAGGATAAATACCGTCTGTAATCGAGAATCCGATTGATATAAGTTTCAATCACCTTGTGACAACTGTTACCCCACCCCCCTTTCCCTCACCAGCACCTGTTTGCTTTATGCTACAAAATGGTATTTCAAAATGTAATCAGCTCTTAGAATAGCTCGGATATAATTCCCTAGTATCAGAAGATATTTTTTTGCCTTACTGAACTAATATAAGAGGCTGAAATTCTTATTTATAGAATGCTTACATAACAGGGCTGATACGTTCCCCTCTTGTCACTAACCTCGATTCCAGGATCTCTATTCTTTGTTGATTAATGGAAGTGTTAGGGAGAAAGGGCCTGAAATCGAGGCTACCCTGAAACGGAAATTCCAGGAAAGGCCTAAAATTGAGGCTATTACCGGTCACTTTTTTCTGTTGTTTCAAAGATAGACGCAATAACATGCATAATGAAAGCAAAGCCTGTGCAGATTCCCTCAGAATGTTGTCGCCATTTTGAGTGTACCAAAAAAAAAAGAAAAAAACTTTTTTTTTCTCATTTCGTAATATTTGGGGTTGGATTAAAACTAAAATATATTTTAATGATGAAATATGAAGTAAATATACTTGAGAGCTTTTTATTTTGTCAATCAAGAAAAATCATATATATATATATATATATATATAGATAATAAAGTTGTTCTATTCATTAGTTAGAAGCTTCAATTTCTATGGTTATCAGGGTATAGTTGACGAAAACAGAAATGTCGGTATATTTATTACTTCATAGGTAACTCTGAGTTTGAAACAAATCTAAACTCTACATCCAAATGTCAGCTCCTTCAAAGCTCTATTTAAAAAAGTGAGAGTGGCTGTAATAATTATTTAATAGCAGTCATGCAAAATGTATTTAATAGGTTTTGGGACCCATTTACTGAAAATATGTAATTAACAAGCATTTTTAAAGTGAGTGACTAGTAATAATGAAACTCTTCCGAGAAGATTTTAGTCCAAAATTAGCTAGAAATTATAATGATTGTTCTGCCGTAATAATTGTGTGTTTGCATTACTCTCGGATCTTTGTTTTTGCCTGTTTTGCTAGATCTCTTTTTTAAACAGTGTAAAATGTATTGTGCTGGATAGTTGTTTGGGAAACCAATTAAAATAACATTATTTTTCATTTTGTATGGTGTTCAGCTCAGCCACAAGGTGGCGTTGCTCTCTGCTCCAAGGTCATTGTCTTGAATCTGTTGTCTCCGTTCTCAGGAAGATTAGAAGCCTTAATCATCATTTTTCCCGCGTCGCATGCCAGGGTCAGGGGTTAAATTTTTTCTCGGGAAAAATATGTAGATATGAGTCGCAATTCAAGTTTTCTCTTTCGTTTAAAGCAAGGTGAGCAAGATTATGACCATTTTACTGGCTTCTATAAGCCTCATTGGATATAAATTTATATCCTTTGGATTGTGCGCAAGAACTGTCCTGGGCACATAATAAAATGAACTGCTTATTTTGATACAATTTATTTCTGGCCGGCCAAACCCGATTGAAGCTCAAAATTGGCTGACTGACCACCTTGGTACTCTTTTCAGTTATTGCAATGGTTCATTGCGATAAATACATCATGCACTAGGACAGGCACACCTTTGGTTATCAAATTACAACGCAAACAAACAAATTCGTATCTGACTGAATGGACAGATGAATGTTAAGGAACATTTCCTGCCTTCACATTCACTGTATCTGCATGTGCTATCGGCCGCCACGAATACATGATTGCAGTTGAGTATTTTGACAAAATAAATAATGTGCATCAAATTTGTAGTCTCTTAAGACATGTTAAGGGTATCGAGCGACGAAGTGCTTTTATCATAATGAATATACGAAATAGGATTCCATTTCTGTGTTAATCACCTCGATCATTCAACATGCCTTGAAATTTTTCTTGGATAGTAGATTTTCTCAGATAGGTCAAGACAATTTGAAATTCCTTTCGTAACGCGCAAAACTTTCCTAAACCACTGATTGTCATTAAGAATATCAAGATGGAAAGATAAATTCAGGAAAGGACGAGAATTTGTTAGAATGAAGAGGATCGACACTGACTCTAAAGGACTAACTTAGCTTAAGTTTCTCAAGTGTAGCTCTCTTGACCTTGCGTGACAGTATTTGATTGTATGACAATTGCTCTAGCCAATCAACGTACAGGAGTTGACACACCTCCAACACACCCTTTCATCGAAATAATTTTTGAATAAATATAACTGGCGCCGCGTCTAACAATATGGCCTTTTGTTATCCAAGCTAATAATTTAAATTGCCATGGCGCAGTTCAAACTCCCGTTTACATGGCTGATGATTTTGCAAACGACAAAGCTTTAATCGAGAAGGGGCTTTACAGTTACTACAACTCTTGAAAACTCGATCGAAACCTTTCAAAGGTGAGTAACGAGAAGTAGCTGAAACTTTTGAATTGCTGCAGAGAAAATTATATCTTGTGTTAAATTTTCGAGCGACACCTGACTGAAAATTATATTTAGACCATCTGCCTTTGTATAGAAAAACTCAGTTCCTTTTTCGTGTTGTGCTGTCTCTGCCCCTTATGTTGCATTACGCAACTCCTTTCTGTGATTTGAATTACATAATTCTTTTTGATCGTACCTAGATGATACTTTCGGCTTCGATTATTATGATCAGGAGTCACTAGTATGGCGATATAGAGTTCGAGCATCTTTTGCTCGATTTCTACAACCGTTTGTGCCGCCAAACTGACTGGAGACAGGGTGGCCGGAGTCTTAGGCAATTTTTCGTAACTATGGCCACATTTCCGACCAGTTGTTGCATGGATTCACGGTGTTTTTGAGGAGATAAGAGCGGTTGTCTTGTAAGTAATTTTTTAAGTTAGTTACGATTTGACAACTTAACATTCTTTCGATATCAAATCACTGATTAATATAAAATTCCTAGTCTGGCAAAGAGATCCTAAGTTTTCTATTTCTTCGCTTTCTATATTTTGTTTCTTGGTATCGTGCGTAACAAACACTTTGATGAAGTTGAATTTTGAAGTTTACTTATTCTCTTGAGTTTTTTAAACAACGTTTATGTGAGCTATCATTCTGGTGAAAACCTCGATTCGATGACGACGCCATTTGATTTGATGATAGGATCAGTCAGAAGCTTTCGATGTATTTTCGAGAAAAGAAATTCGCAATCACACAATTATGGGCCTTTCCAAACGAGTGAGGCTCAGTTAGAGAGACGAATTGGACCTCTGTTATGTTCACATGCACGTTGTGCGGTAACTAAGGTAGAGAGTGTTTCTTACCTGTGGGCAGAATTTCCTGTTTGTGGTCGTCGCGCGAATGCAGATATATCCTCTCGGTATTCAAACAATTCATATATATTCTCGTCAAAAGCCAAGTTCTTCTAAAATTTATTTCGACCCTTGCAAGGGCTATTTTCACCAAGACGGAAAGCGTTTTCCTTAGGGGCGTCTCGCCATGTCTTTGAAACCCTCAACATTTACCTCCCTCGTATTGCTCGTCCATCCACATCTAACATATTCAGGGAGAACATGTGTAATTTTATTTAAGGCAATTGCCCATGCTGCACATGAGAGTCATACATCATCGACTTTGCCATCCAAAGGGAGACATGTTGCTCAGAAAGAGGGCTAGTCCAAGAGACAAAATCATGCAACACAAGCAGCGAAGCCCGACTCTCTTCGAGCTGGCGGCGATTTGAGCACTTAATAAGTCCGCCAGGTATCGCACGTTCCTGACTTCGCTTGCCAGCTCGAATATCGAGGGCTTCGCCGCTGGTGTTTCGGCGCTAGTAAGTTTCACTGGAAAGCGATATGATTTGAAATGACACAAGCTCTGCAAAAGGAAGTATTAATGAAATACATGATTCTGCGGTAAACTCATTTACAAAAAAAACAATAACAATATGGCTTGCAGTTGTATGCTGTGTTTCCCGGAAATACTTCCCGTTCCTTCGCTCAAGTTATTGTCATAATTTAGTATTTTCACATTATCGTCCATACAGTTTTGCACAGTAAACCTCGCTTTTCAATTATTCATAGCTAGCTGTGTGATTCGAACAATTAAATTCCATCGTGTAAATTTATTTTGAATGGGGTTTGATTTGTTCCAAGTGGCAGATTATTTGCATGAAAATTTTAGATGACTGGTATTTTTGGTCCGTTGCTGGTTTAGAGAACTGATTCTTTACAACTAAGACCTATCTTGGTCTATTTTAGATATCTGTTCGACCAATCAGTCTTTCTATGAACATTGCTTTCAACTGATTACGGTATATTGTTTGATGGTTCAATTATTCATAGCACAGGTCGCTGCTTTATATGATTTTAAATATTTTTAGAGCTCGTTAATAGCTGAAAATTGATGGGAGCCACCAATACTTTAACGTGTAAGTTTTCGTCAGTTACGGAGCGCCTTTTCCGTTTTCAAACGCTAATTTTTGACGATTCTTTGGAAAGGAGTACGATTGTGGTTCTAGAAAAAAAAGAAACTCCATCTGGTTGCCAGGTACGATACAAAAGAGTTTTAAAAGTTTCTCGTTCGGAAGAAGTTACAATACAAACCTAACGTACCCGGAAAAATGATTCCTGTGTACTTTATATGGAATATTAGAACACAGTAGATATATCATGTAATTAACCTAATTGCACTGTGACAAGACTTACAACTAAAGCACGTGTACATTATCCCTTAACACTTTGAAGAAAAAATACATTGTACCAATCCTATCACTTGGGAATTTCTCAGTGATTGAGTGTGCGTATCCATTTCTCCTATGATCACCAGATCATAGCCAATGTATCGTTCATCGTTAGCTCCAGAATTTACTACAGTAATTCTTACTTAGCTTTGACGACTGAATGGTTAAATATGGACATCCTTAAGAAAAAAAATTCTAAAGATGGTGTAAATCAGATAAGGGAAGGATCAAAACGATGTATAATTATTCATTTGCGAAGGAGACAGACGTCCACAAGTTTTCCCGCTTTAGACTAGTCTTCATGTTTACGTTCAACTCAGCTACCGTTGACACATTATTTTTCGCTTTCCTCTAGGTTAAAATATTTTTGTATCTTCGCTGTTAGCAATTGACACTATCGGGCTGTGACAGGATGACAATAATTCCGATGAAACCAAACACGTTCTCATTGGAGGAAGTTTCATACCACAACGACGCGTCTTCCTGTTGGATTGTAATTCAGGATAAAGTATATGATTTGACTAACTTTTTGTACGAGGTAAAACTCCGAGTTGAACTCGTAAATTTTTAAATATATCAAACATTTTTGTCTCCGAACGATTTTTTTGGAATGATAAACATTTTTAGAGAAGTCGTGCTGAGAGGAACTTAGTTCCATGCACGTCGACAGTTGCGGTGACCCTTAATGAAAACTACTGCTCTGTAGACCCAAACTACACAATGTCTATTACCTGCGAAATTGATGATAACCACGTGGTTAGCAATATCAATTTTCGAGCTCAGTTCTTCCGAGAAAAACTTATGACACCCGACCAGATATAATGAATAATTGCAAAATACAATTTTGAAGTTTTTAAAGTATAGGAGTAATTAATCCAGTTGTTGGTAGTGCAGCCTGTAACGGCAGAAAACGTTATCTTTCCAGCTCCAAATGATACTGTTTATTAGCTTGCAGTAATAGTGGGAGGTTGAAACTAAAAACATAAATAAGATTTAAGTTAATTAATTAAGATAAACAAACTACAAACAAAAAATCAAGACAAACAAAGCGAAACGAAAAAAAATATTTACATTGATAACACCCAATATATAATTGTAAAATCGACTTTTAAAACAGAAAACTGCGCCAAGCTTGACTTTAGGTAAACTAAGATAATATCAACTCCTGAGGTAAATTGACTTTATAGTGATTATGCTAAAAGAAACTGGCTTTAAATACAAGAGGACTGCGAAATAACGTGTGGTATGAGAAACGTGCGAAAAAGGTTTACCTGACTAAGAAAAACGCAAACAAACGTAACAAAAAACATTAGCGAGGAGGTATGAAAAAATATAAGACGAAATAAATAAATACGAATTACACGAAAAATGACTAGCAAGCGCTTAGATCTAACAAAGCCTCTTGTTGAAGATTTTTAGCTCCCACTTGTCACACCGATTTTAATTATAGTCCAGTATTAACCTAAAAGAAGTGTTATACATCATTGTTTCAGCATCCTGGAGGACTTGAAATAATATTGGAACATGCAGGTGAGTGAATAGCTGATTCTGCTCTTTTCCACTTTCCAAATCTTTAATATTTGGTATAATGCAAGGGTTGGGAACACAGCTGCTAACTTTTCGGTCGTTATGGGGAGCTAGGCATAAGAGATCCTCTTCTGGTATTTTTCACTTTCGAAAATATGCGTAAGTGTAGTATTTCACTAGACTCAGCTCCGAAATGAATGACATTAAGCTTTTTCAAAACTGTTGCAGGTATGGATGCAACCACCGTATTCCACGACATAGGTCACTCGACGGAAGCCAAAAAGATTCTCTCGAAATACTTTATTGGAGAGCTTAGAGAGGTTAATTACTATATACGTAACATAACGTTTTAAAAAGTGTTCATTCCACCAACTTTGCTACACGTTGCGTGGTTGCTCCAATTTTGCAAGGATGGTCAGGCTTTTTTCCCGGTGAACTCGATAATATCAATAAAAGAACAAAATAGTTAGAATACCATACTTCCTTATTTTATTTCATCGACGGTTACAAGGAAAAAAGTGGCCTTTACGAGTTTTTCAATTGATTTCCATAGTTTTCCAAAAGCAACCCCTTGAGAGGAGGGACGAAAAACACTGACATCATGGGATGTATCTAATCGGGACCCCCCTAGATTGAATGGTATTTAACCGGCTTATGGATTGTGGGTAAGGAAAAGATTGTTAACAGTGGAGTTGATCGTCGTCTTTCCAACAGTGATCCTTGTGGCTCTTAGAGCTTTCATCTCGTAGTCCACCTGGTAGTTTATCGTCTTAGTGTGGAGGAAATATAAATAATTTGATTTAGCGATCATCATATTGCTCCCTAAAAGCGCTTTGGAAATTATCTGTGGTTAGTTCCGTTAGGTAACGATCATTTGCCTCGTTGCAGACCGACAGAATCTACAATGACAAGCCCAAGCCTTAACGGACAAACAAAGGTGATAAGCTGCAATGATTACAAGGACGATCATTAGAGATATCATATGTTCTCACGATTACGAGAACATATGCGATAACTTTAAGGAAGCTCCGTTTCTGACGTCTGAGTCCATTTTAGCGTCGTCATAATAAAGAACTCTCGATCTCTCATTAAAATTAGGCTGGATTTTGATGAAGGTGAAAA